AACTCTAGGTCAATTTGGGGAGAATTAACATCTTAACGATATTTAGTTTTCTAACCCATGAGAACGATCTTATCTCTCCATTCACTATAGTCTTTAATTTCTCTTAGCAATGTTTTGTAGTTGTCAATATATAGGTCTTCCACGTCTTTTGTCAGATTTATTTTATATTTTTTATATTTTTGATGATATTTTAAATGGTACTATTCCTTAAATTTCAACTTCCAATTGTTTGCTGTTAGTATATATAAATACAATTTTTTTGTGTGTATTGATCCTCTATCCTGCAGCACTGCTAAACTCGTGTATTAGATCAAGTAATGTTTTTGGAGATTCCATCAGATTTTTTTCATAGTCAATCATGTTGCCTGCAACTAAAGAAAGTTTTACTTCTTCTTCTGTTGCCTTATTGCACTAGCTAGACCCTCCAGTAAAATGTTGAGTAGAAGTGGTAAGAAGGGACATTCCTGTCTTGTTCCTCCTGATTTTAGAGGGGAAGCATTCAGTCACTTACCATTAAGTATGATATTAGATGTCAGCTTTTCATAAATATCCTATCTCAGATTGAAGAATTTCTCTTCTCTCCCTAGTTTGCCGAAGGTTTTTTAAACTCAGGAATGAATGCATTGTCAAATGCTTTCTTTTTTTACTCTATTAAGTAGATTATATGGTCTTTCTTTTTTAGATTATTAATACAGTGAATTACATTGGTTGATTTTTAAATGTTAAAGCAACCACGTATTCCTGGGATAAACTCCACTTAGTCATAATGTTAGGATTGTTGTCAGGATAACACTGTTATCCTTTTTATATATTGTTGGATTAGATTTGTTAGGTTTTGCTTAGGAGTTTTGCATATATGTTCATGGGGGGTATTTGTAGTTTTCTTGTAATGTCTTCATCAGGTTTTGGTAGTAGAGTAATACTGACTTCATGGAAAGGAGCATGTCTTCCTTTTCAATTTTCTGTAGGCCTTATGTACAATTGGTATTTACTTCTTCCTTAAATGTTAAGTAGAATTCAGTCAATGAAGCCATCTGGACCTGGAACTTTCTTTGTGGGAAGTTTTCAGCTACAAATTCAATTTTTAAAAACAGATACAGGACTATTCAGGTTATCTATTTCTTCCTGAGTAGGCTTTGGTAGTTTGTGTCTTCCCAGGAATTTGTCCATTTTATCTATTTTTTTTTCTTTAGTCCCTGCACCCCCCTGTCCGTTTTATCTAAGTTGCCAAATTTATTGCCATAAATTTGTTCACGTATTATCTTATTATCCTTTTGTCTGTAGAGTGTAGTGATGTCACATTCCTGACATTGTTAACTTGTGTTTTCTCTCATTTTTTCTTCCTGAGCAGTTTGTCCAGAGGTTTATCAGTTTTCAAGGAAATTAGCTTTTGTTTCATTGATTTTATCTATTGTTTTCTGTATTATATCTCATTGATTTCTTCTCTGATCTTTATTATTTTTTTCCCTCTACTTATTTTGGGTTTAATTTACTTCTTCTTTTCATACTTTCTTTAGATAGAAGCTAAAGTCATTGATTTAAGACCTTTCTTATTTTCTAATATAGACTTTTAGTGCTAGCTATAAATCTGCCCCTAAGTACTACTTTTATGGCATCACAAAAATTTTGATATGTTATGCTTTCATTTTCAGTCAGTTCAAAA